CTCTCTTTACCAGCGTTGAGAGTCAAGTACCACGGTCGCAGCAGTTCGTCGAAGAATTACGGACTGCCCGAGACAAAGATGTTGAACTTATTCGCAAGGCGAATGCTACTGCTCGACGGTATGCGGATTTACATCGAAGGGATATTACAATGGCAGCTGGGCAACTAGTCCTTTTGGACACCAAGAATTTACGACTGCCACTACCGACGAAAATACGACAACGTTTCTATGGCCCATTCAAGATCATGAAGATGGTGACGCTGGTGACCGCCCAGTTGCGTCTACCTGACGATTGGCGTATTCACAACAAGTTCCTCGTAAGCCTGTTGCGACCCTTTGTACGCGACATATCGGACATCGATAGACAGCGCTTGGTCCCGGATGTACGCCCCCTAGCAGAGACCACCATCGAGCCTACCAAGATTTTGAACCATAAGTTTCGTATTGACGGACAAGGATGACACGTTGACTTTCTGATACGATGGACCAATCGTACCAGTGAGGACGACACGTGGGTGCCCTCGGACCACATACAGTCACCTTCGATACTTGCGAATTATTTGGCCCGCAAGCACGTGGCTGATATAGATCACCTTCGCTCAGGGTATCAAAGTAAGAAGTGAATAATGATGAGTAGTGAGAGAGTACAAGTGAATATACCTAAGTGTTGTACCCTCTAAGAGGTGACCTTATACAGTCTATACAAACATTTGAGATACACATGTTTGACACACCCCCTAGACTGCATAGGGGTAGGTCCTAAACAATCAGCTCAGGGCGGCACTACTAGTCCAGCCACTGAGACAAGGGTCTAAAGACAAGTCAAAAGGAGTACAGGCAAGGCAAGAACAAGACCAGGGCGGCACTACTACTCCGGCCACAAGGAGAGGACACAAGTCCAGTCTGAGTACATATAGATATATAGGACAGTACAAAATCAAGGCCCTAGCAAGTGAGAGGCTACAGGAACTAGACCGAGCTGTACACAGTGCCGCTGATGATCTTTAGGCGCAAGCGCCTTCGTAAAGATATCACCTGTGTTGGCACCGAAGGCCAAGTGTACTACGCGAGCCTGGCGACGCTGCTGTAGCTCGCGCAGCAGGAAGTACCGCAGCTAGATATGCTTCGCTCTGCCCTCGAGTCGCGGCTCCTGACATAGGAGGATCATGGCCCTGTTGTCAGCGTACAGGACCGGGGCAGAGCTAGGCCGCTCACCTAAGTCAGTGAGCAAGAAGGTAAGCCAGCGGAGCTCCTGTGCCGCCATGGCACTGGCGTAGATCTCGGCCTCACAACTCAACTGGGCAACAGACGAGGAGCGGGTAGCTCTCCACGAGACGGCACCTGAACCAAGGCTGAAGCAGTAGCCCTGGGAAGACATGAGTGTCTCGGCGTCGTCTGCCCAAGAAGCGTCTGTGTGCCCAGTAAGGACCACTGACCTGCGTCCTCCTAGCACTAACCCCATGCCCGATGTACTTGCAAGATAACGCAAAACCCTCTTAGCGGCAGACCAGTGCTGCGGTCGGTGTCTGCCTGTGGCCACAAAGCGAGCCAGGATGCTGAGAGGGTATGCGAGATCTGGGCGAGTGCAAGTCATCAGGTACATGAGGCAACCCACCAGCTCTGCGTAAGGACCACTCGGCTGTACTGACTCCTCAGGAACTGGAGCGGGGAGTCTGTGGTCTACTGGCAGAGGGGTGGGCTGTGCAGAGGAGAACTGAAGGCCAAACCTCTGAAGGACCTGGCGCACCAAGTGTGACTGAGTCAAGGTGATGGTGCGCGGTGCTCTGTCCCTGGAGATCTGCAAGCCAAGGTAACGGCGCAGTTCTCCAAGGTCAGTGCACGTGTGTCTCTTCAGCAGCTCTGCCTTCACGGAGACCAGTGCGTCCGTGTCTGCCGTGGCAAAGACCAGGTCATCCACGTAAACAAGGATGTAGAACGGAGTCTGGCCAGCACGAACGAAGAGTGAGTGGTCTGCAGAGGACGGAAAGAACTGCAGGTCAGCAAGGGTAGCACGCAGCGTGTCGTGCCACTCACGGGGAGCCTGCCGCAGGCCGTAGACGGGACGCCGCAGGAGCCACTGGGTCCCAGAAGGGAAGGTGTCAGTAAAGCCCTGAGGGCGACGCAGGTAGACCTGCTCGTGTAGGCTGCCCTGAAGGAAGGCAGTGGAGAAGCCGAGGGAGTGAAGCTCGTAGTCACGCTGAGCTGCTAGGTGTAGCAGAACCCGAAGAGTAGTCATCTTCGGGGTCGGAGCGAAGGTCTGGAAGAAGTCCACCCCCTCACGCTGATTGAAACCTCTAGCCACGTAGCACGCCTTGAACACAGGCGGCTCTCCAGGAGGGCGCTTCACCTTGAAGAGCCAGCGGCCATCGACTACGTTCACCCCAGGCGGGGGAACTGCGTCGACGAAGGTGCCGGTGGATCTCCAAGATGCCATCTCCTGCTCCATGGCAGCTATCCACTGGGAGGCCCAGGGTCCCGAGGTCGCCTCAGCGTAAGTGCGAGGGATCGGGATGTCGAAAGCGTCTGGGTCACCCTCAGGGACTAGCAGCATGGAACAGAGATGGGGAGCAGCCTTGGACAGGAAAGCAAGCTCGAACTGGCGGTCCTCCAGGACGTCACTGCCGAGGGCAGGAGCACCCTCGACAGACGGAGGACAAGCAGGGTCAGAGACCAGGTGAGGCAGCGCGGTGCGGGTCAGTAAAGTGCAGTGCGGTACGGCGCGGTACAGTGCGGTGCAGCGCGGTGCAGTGCGGTACAGTGCAGAATAGCGCGGTGCAGTGCGGTGCAGTGCGGTACAGTGCGGTGCAGTGCGGTACAGTGCGGTGCAGTGCGGTACAGTGCAGTGCAGCGCGGTGCAGGGCAGTGCTATGAGGTGCAGTGCAGTGAAAGGGGAAGGAGAACCGTACCAGCGAGGGTGCAGTGTAGTAGCAGGCACGAAGACCGGGCGGCACGCAGATCGGCGGCAGTCCGGCGGGAAGGTGCACGGGACCACAGGTCGACGGGCAGAGCGCTCGCAGGGAGCTGGTAGGACGAGCGCAAGGCCGGCTAGGGCTGGCGCTGGGGCCGAGAGGACGGGCGCGGGACCAGGCTGGTGTGGCAGGGCCAGGCAGGTGCGGTGGGGCCAGGCAGGCGTGGCGGAGCGAGGCAGGTGCGACGGGGCCAGGCAGGCGCGGCGGGGCCAAGCAGGAGCGGTGGGGCTAAGCAGGCGCGGTGGGGCCAGGCAGGAGGGGCGCGATGGGGTGAGGAGGGGTGATGGGGCCCAGGAGGGGCGATAGGAGGCGCGACGAGGCCCAGGAGGAGCGCTAGGAGGCGCAACGGGGCCCAGGAGGGGCGCGATGGTGCTAGAAGGGACGACGGGGCCCAGGAGGGGCGCGACGGGGCTAGGAGACACGACGGGGCCCAAGAGGGGCGCGACGGGGCTAGGAGGCACGACGGGGCCAGGAGGTGCTACGGGGCCCAGGAGGGGCGCTAGGAGGGGCGCTAGGAGGGGCGCGACGGGGCCTAGCTAAAGGTACGGGCGGAAGCGATAGGTGGGGGGATTCTAACCTACTCGTGATACCATATCAAGGTAAGAAGTGAATAATGATGAGTCGTAAGAGAGTACAAGTGAATATACCTAAGTGTTGTACCCTCTAATAGGTGACCCTATACAGTCTATACAAACATTTGAGATACACATATTTGACAAAGGGTAGGGGTGGTGTAAGGAATTTTCGATTCCTTACCGAGCGGTACTGCTATCGCGCACGCTCGAACACACCCAAAGCCTCGGGACGGTTCCGGGCCTTTCTGACAAAATCGCCTCGGCTTCTCCGGACCTTCTAGTTCGACCTTCGGGAGTTCTCCGGGCCTCGTTTCATCGCTTCAAGACCCTTCGATCTCTTTCCCGAACCTTTACATCTGATGGTTAGACTAGCTCTGGTGTTCCTATATCCTGGCTTGCCATTCCTTGTATCGTCATTCAGTGATTGAACACTTAGTTATTCATTTCCGCACTACTCTGCTTATTCATTCATAATACCAAGGTTCCTATACTTTGAGCCTTGGTCTCTCTTGGGCCGCGTGCTTTAAGTGACTGATAACATAATCTCCCACATATATTATCCACCGGAATAGCAGTCCATGGGTCTTTTGGACGGACACCGGGGCGCTTATTTCGACAGAATATGTGTGGACCCCCATATTCGCATTAGTCATTTTACGACCCCCTTTTGACGATCAACTGTTGGACTTGGCGAGATTTGTTTTGGCGAGGATGATTTGAGGAAATGTGTGGCTCGAATCTGACGCGAATTCTGACGCGCCAATCCCGAAATCTGACGCGTCAGTTTTGCATGTTGTTCTCGGGACAAATGGCTCCTTTTGAAAATATGTGGCTCGTTTGAATTTTCCAGGAGTCCTTAGGGTGATATATGCTGTGGGTTACAGTGAGAGTTTTAATACAATAAAAAATATCACAACAAAACCAAGCATGAGATGAGACCCTGTAACGAGCTGTTAAGTCAAGTCCTTGTTTCCCCTCCCCGCTCACCCCCCACTGCTCTGGCCTTCACTTGATCACCCCTCATTCTGTTTCCCGTTGTTACTCATGCACTACTTGTTCTTGGCACCTGAAACACCACTGGAAGCACATAATGTGAGGTGCGTGTAAAGCTCCTCCGGTCCACTGCTGCCAGACCGTCACTCACCTGCTCTCGCCCTGCTCCTCACCCCTCCATGCTGCTGTGATATATGAAGTTTTTCCTGCAAGTTCCGTTTTCATTGTAGTAAGCAGTATCGAGTTTCTCAGTAAGTAATCATGCCCGAGTGCTGATGTCAGCAAAGCATCGAGGGTCTCGGTATGACGTCACCATACCGTTTCAGTTACGCGAATAGATGTAACGAGTCGTTTCAGTCACGCGAACAGTCGCGACCCTTTAGTATGACGAATAGTTCGCATAGCGCGATAGTGACGAACAGATACATTAGCAAACAGATACTTTCCTAGAGCTATAAATCCTTGTAATGCCTTTCTATTATTAACCTTGACTTAACACAGAATTATGTGCTCAGGTTATTCAACCTTCGACTACCCACAAGTTCATGTGCTCAGGTTCACTCTGACAAGACTTCCGCTGTCTTACTAGTCTACCATTCCAGCAAAGATCCTTGGTTAAGTACTCGTGTTAGCAGATTCTATACTTAGTCTCCTGCAACACCAGACGATTTATTTCACATGCAAGCCCTCCCCTCTCCCCCTAACCAAGTCCCCCCCCCCCCCCCCCCCCCCCCCTTTGTTTTTGCGCCATGGCACCGCCTTAGATGCCAGACGCAGACAGGGAGCGGTGCATCAGGTGCATCTCTTTCTCCCCGCTCCTCTGCACCACCGGCTCACCCTCACTCGTCTGTGTTCTGCTCATTTTTGTTTCCCCAGCCCCTTCATGGCTGACTGCCGTCCCACTAGCACCTTCGCTGTTGCTGCCACCAGAACTGCCATCAGTAATTAGCTGTACATTGCCCTGCCCTCCAGTTCCCACCACCCCCCTCTGCTGTTGCGGCATTCGCCCCGAAAATACCGAGTCTGCAATCTGCGTTGTAGCGTTCACTGTAGACACCACTGTAGACGCAACAGTGGTTCGGACCGACGAACCTAACTTCCGAACCGGAGCTGCGATAGCCTCGGGATGCAGGTTCGGGAGAGACACCCCCTGCATGCTGAAGCTAACTGCCTTGCTCCGGGACCGACTGTTGAAGCTCCCCGCCGAACCTAACAGCCCCTCTGCTAAACCTCTTGCCCCACCAGCAAGCTCAGATATTTCCCCAAGGTGTGCTGAGAGCGACTTGGAGCTCCTCCCCTCCCTCATGCTCCCGCCTCGAATGCTCTTAAGCAACGACTTGAGCCGAGCAGCATTGCTCTTGCCCTCCTCGGCCAGAGAGCCATCACCTCCCCCCGTCCCTCCTCCTAATCCTCCCCCTTCTCCCGCTCCCCCCGCTGCCATCTGCAGCAGTTGCATCGACTGGATCTTAGCTAAGTGCTCGTTCCACCGCCAAATATCCCCATCAATCCCCTTGGACCACTCGGGCAGCTCGCGCTTCTCAATGAAGTGGGCTATGACTCGCAGGATGCGCGGGTCGCGGAAGTACGCGCCGTGGTTGAGGTCAAATCGCCCCGTCAGCTCACCCATGCGCTCCTCAATCATCACACACAGCTGCTGCAGCTGGCGCTCAAACTCGCGCTCGCTCAGCCGCGGGTTGCGCCCGATGGTGGCCATCTGGGACTTGAGCCGCTGGAACGTCTGCGACTGCTCTGCCAGGAGGGAGAGCTCCTTGTCATCCCACAGAAAATCGTAGACCAGCTTCTCCCTCTCCTGGTCTTGGGGGTCCTCTGACTCCTGTGAAGCAGCTACGCCTGCGCTCGAAGGGGCGGTGTCAGAAGCACCAGATACACTGGCAAACACAGCGGTAGCACCAGTTGTAGCAGCAGTTGTAGCAGCACCAGTGGCAGGAGCAGTTGTGGCACCAGCAGAACTAACAGCAGCAGGAACCTCCACGGAAGCCTCCTCCACCTTCTCGACCGCAGCAGCTGCTTTCGCTGAAGCTGCTTCCTCCTCTTTCTCAAGCGATGCCTTCTCGTCACTTGTGAGCGATCGGGAAAGCTTGCCCTCAAACGACACGCGGCATGGAACCGGACCAGATTGATCTGAACCTGCAACTCCCTTCTTTTCAAATGCCTCAGCAGCTGCATCCACAGCACCTGCTTCCTTGCCCTCCCACTCATTTCCTGCCGCAGGTATTTCTGCCTCTCCTGCTTTCACGGCCGCTGCTTCAACCGCTGCTGCTTCAGCCACAGCAGCCAGAGTCGACAGGCGCACCCCTCTGCCCCCCATCATGCTGCTCTCACTTGCTGCTGCGTGCCTCATCACCACATCCCGGAACCCCCTTCGCTTCCGCAGCGCGCTCCCCGTGCGACTGAACGCAGCAGCACTTGACTCTGCTGCTTCTGCGGTGGCTGTTTCGCCTTCCTCGTTCGGTGTGCCGGGAGTGCCACGGGGGGAGCCAAGGGGGGAGCGCGCGGGGTGGGGGTGGGGATGAACGGGCTCCATCCACTCAGGCTTCTCTACGGTGTCGTCCTCATAGCCGGGCATCAGCTCGCCCTTGAGCGACTTGGTCTTGGCTTCAGCCAACAGTTTCTGGGGCGGGGGAGAGGAGAGGGGGGAGGGGGGAGGGGGGAGGGGAGAGAGAGGGGGTGAGAGAGGAGGATGGATGGATCAGGCATTGCTGCTCCACTCCAGCCACTCCGGCTGCTCTACAGTGTCGTCCTCATAGCCGGGCATGAGCTCACCCTTGAGCGACTTGGTCTTGGCTTCAGCCAACAGTGTCTGGGGCGGGGGAGAGGAGAGGGGGGAGGGGAGAGAGAGGAGGTGAGAGAGGACGGGAGGAAGGGGGAAGGAGGAAAGGGATTTCAAGGGATGTCCTTTTAAGCAGTGATGGCTTTTTCATATCAGTCGTATAGCCAATATGTAAATAGTGAAGACCACTAATGCTAAATTGACTTTCCTAGTTAAGGCAGCAGCAGTACTTACCTGAACTCTCCAATAATCAATTTCGAAGCCCGTATCCAGGTGCTCGTTCTCATTTACGTACACCTAGTTCACATTACTAGGGTATAAACGAATATGCTTTAGGGATAGGGCAGAAGTGTTACGGACCTGAACGTTCCATTGGTCAACTTGCTGCGAGGCGAGGTCCAAATCCAACTGCTCGTCCACATAGATGTACGCGTTGTTCAGATCCCCCGGCGACAGCCCGAAGCTGATCGTAACAACCATCTTCTGGATCGTTCCGGTGACGATCGGCGCGACGATGTGTGACAACACGGACATGATGGCAGCGGGTAGAAAAAAGAGTGTGTCCCACACGAGGATGATGGTGCAGTTGAACAGATACGCCCACCAGTCCACCTGGCGGGCGTAGCGCGTGGGGGCCTTGGGGAAGGGCGCCCAGGGGGTCTGCTTCAGGAGTTTTGTCAGGTGGGGGAAGACGTAGGCACGCGTGATTGGCTCCATGGAAAGGGCGAGACTGGCCTGATGGGTTGGGGGTGGGTGGACGGGAGGGAAGGAGCGGGGTGAGCTTACCGGGTGAGATAGATGGGAGTAGGGGGTGAGTGCACGGTGGATAGAGAGGGGAAGTGGGAGGGAGTGAGAGGCGACTCACCTCATCAAGCTTGCCAGCATGAATGAATATACAGAAGGGTGGTTTGCAAGGCAAGGTGGGTTGAGGTGTGAGGGAGAGTCAGTCGCCCACCTCGTCTAGCTTGCCCGCATGAATGACGAGAGCCGACATGGCAGGTGACCAATCAAAGGCCGGGTTGTGGTAGAGATTGCCACTGTAGAACACCGTGTTTCCCACAGCCTGAGTAAAGAGGGGAGAGGGGTGCAAAACGAGGGGAAGAGGGGGAAGAAGAGGTGGACCTTTACATATATCCATACATATACATCACATACATATACATTTACTATCATATGGATACCACAATTTGACTATACAGCTAAATTGAGTTTATGTTAGTTATGTACCAGCATACATACAATATAGTATATTATATATATGTAGCATGAACACAATAGTCAGCTAGGCTCCCAAGTAAAAAAAGAAAAGGGAATTAAATGTAAATTGAGAAGATCATATTGACCATGCATGTATGGAACTTTTCTTTTACTTACATCCATGATCTGCTTCACAAGTACGAGCAGCATGATGCCCGTTGCGATGAAGAAGTGAGGACCAGAGCGGGAGTAAAAACTGGAGATACAGGGGCCAGGCGAAAGAGAGGTGGAGTTCAGTTGAGAGGCAGGATGGACTGGATGGAAAGCGAAGGGTGGGACAAGAACGAAGGTAGTGCTGTTTTTAACAGCTAAAAAGGGGGGGAGGGGGGAAGAGGGGGGGAGAGGGGGGGGGGGGGGGGTAGGTGGGAGACTGGGATGCAGCTTTTCAGTAAACTCAAACAACCACTCACTCCTCTGGTCTGCCAGCGATCAGTAGCACGATGATCTGCCAGAAGGACGTGTAGGCGATGATGAAGATGTACATGATGACCACGGACATCATCGTTGACACCGCGAACCACAGCAGCCCATTCTTCTGCCACTTCTTGATGTAGAAGGGCGTGCCAAGGAACACGAGGGCGCCGAGGGCGTTGGTGATGGGCGAGGTGGCGTGGCGGAAGGCCAGGAAGCGCCGCTGCCGCACTGCTGGCAGCCTCAGAAACGAGTCCAGCCCCTGGTGGTACGCCCAGGGGTACTGCTCTTTCACCTTCACTGCCTTCTGGCCGTTGAAGCTGTGAGGGAGTGGGTGGGGGAAGGAGGGGGGTGGATTAGGGACGAGGGAGAGCTTTCTTTCACCCCAGCCACTGGGCGTACGCCCATGGGTAGCTCTCCTTAACCTTCACCGAAGCTGCGTGGGAGTGGGTGGGGGAAAGAGGGGGGTGGATTAGGGACGAGGGAAAGTTTTTTTTTCACCCCAGCCACTCCACGCACGCCCACGGATAGCTTTGCTGCCTTTTGGCTTTTGAAAATGCGCTTGGGGGGATGAGAGGGAGAGGGGATGGGTGTAAGTCGAGGGAGACAGGGTGGAGATGGGTGGAATTGAAGGGTGAAAATTACTTCCGCTGCCGTCTGGTTTTCTGACCAACAGAGGTGGAGCATCTGCCCTGCCAGTGAGAGCAAATGCTGGAAATATTTCGACACATTAGGACCTTCCTTCCCTCCCTCTCCCACTCTCTCCCTCTCTCTCTTCCTCTGTCACTCGCTCCCTCACTCCCTTCCTCTCTCAGTCACCCTCCTCTCTCCCTCACTCCCTCACTCCCTTCCTCTCTCACTCACCCTCGGAACACAACAAGGAAGGGGAAGAAGCGCCACCACGACCCGCGCAAGTCGATTTTCCGCCACTTCTTGATCAGATCGTAGCTCCGCCGGTGCGCCACCCAGAACCGCTCAGCCACCGCCGGGTGCCACTCGTCCTTCTGCCGCCGGCCCAGCTTCGCCATGTACTGGGGAGGGGGGGAGAGGGGGAGTGTGGGGTGGGGGGGGAAGGGGAGAGGGTGGGGAGGGGAGGGGGTAAGATGATCTACTTTTTGCTGTCTGTTGAAGGGTGCAAAATTCCGTCGAATTTTTCATACATCTAACGATTTTTTTGGGATGCAGAATATCAATTAAATAATTTGATAATTGGCAAAATTCGTGAAAAAATTCGTTGGGTGGAAATTTCTGGCCGATTTTTTTTTGTGCAAGAGCCTGCAGTTTACCATAACGCATCACAAATTGGATTTTAAAATACTCGGATCTCCCAAACTGCAGGGGTCAGGTTAATGGCAAGACGGCAGTGACCCACCAATCATGGCTGAGCATGAATGCGCAAATCATGATTTAGGTTGAGCGGAAAGTTTATCCATCTGAAATATTTATGAGGTGTTTGAATAACATTTGCCAGGTTTTAGTTTTTATTTTTAAGGTCCTGACTAAATTTCGCCATTTTGTTCCCAAATCAACCAAAACTTTCCATGAACCGAATTTTTGCACCCTCAAGCCAAGAGGTGGACCACGGCAAGTTTATCTTTGTTTTTTTTCACTTGATTCTCTCGCAGTCAAATAAATGCGAGACGTGCAACAGAGCTCGCCCTAAAGCGTTTACTTACGCATGGCTTCTACTTACCAGTTCTACTGTCTTGAGCATGACATTGCCACCGTGAGAATGCGCCACTAAGTGGATCCGAGCTGCGGGGTCGTTTTGAGCGATTTGGTCGATTAGATTGTGCAGCTGAGGGAGGAGGGGGGGGGGGGGGGGGGGGGGGGGGAGGGGGGGCAGGCAGAACAACATCCAGGAAAAAAAAAGAAATATGAAAAACAAACTGCAGCCAGATAACTTTTTGTCCTGCCCCATGCGATGAGCAAAAAACGCACGCGTCCAGCACAAGGATGCGTTTGCGCGCGTACGGTGTGTAACGCACCAGCAGCTCCCCTGGATCATTTACGCCGACACAAAGAAAAAAACAACACGCTCTTAACAAAGTACTGGCAAAAACAAAAACTCTTACCCGCTAAACTGCACATGCTAGTCGCCGGCGCGCGGCACCAGACCACATGCGGCACCTCCCACATCTTTTTCTTCCGCCTCCGCCTATCCCCCCAACCCAACCACCGTCCGTCGTAACTCTAATCCCCGCCCCTACGCGCGCGCCGTGCCGTCCCTTTCTCCGTCCACTATTTTTCCCCCACTTCATCTCCGCTCACCTTCGGCGCGCCATCCCCATCCCAATTTCCTAGCCGTGGGTGAGGCCGTGTTTCCCAATTTCCTGGTATTTCCCAGGCACCTCAAAACAGGCAACACACTCCCCCCTTCCCCCCCCCCCCCCTCCTCCCCTCCCTCCCCCACCCCGCTTCGCTCACCTTCATGGCGGCCGTGACGCGGCCGGCGTGCGTGTTGGTGCCGTCCCAGTGGAACGGATACGGTATTCCCGGGAGCGCGGAGCACGGCAGCTCGCGCCAGATGGCGTCCTCCCCGATGGGTCCCCCCGCCAGCAGCCGGCTCAGCTTGCGGCAGAAGTTCTGCTCGCCGGGCGCCGGCGGCTGGTACCACGTCGGCGCGCCGTCCGCCGGCGGCGCGTCGAACGTCCCGTGAATCACGATCACGTAGTGGTTCTCGTGATTGATGTCGAAGTCCCCGCGTCGCACGCGGATTGGCGCCTCGATGTCTTTCCCTTTCCCGTCCGTGTCCTCGCCGCGCCCGCTCCCGCTTCCACTTCCGCTTCCGCCGCTCGCGGCGCTTATTCCTGAAAGAGAGCTCGCGAACTGTTTACGCGAATTGCTGTCGTCGTCGCCACCGTCGTCGCTGGCTTCGCCTGCGACTTTGTTGTCTGGGTCGCAAAGCATCGGCATTGAGCTGTTGGTGTCGTACAACAGCCCATTCCGCCCAATGTCACCGTCTGCTGACGTGTCATCTGACGGTTTGCTGGTAGTATCTTGTAATGAACTCTGCCGGTCGCCGGCGAATCCCCGTTCGCATGCGGTTTCGTCGTCGCTGTCGGCCGCGCCGTCGCTTTCGCCTTGCGGCCTCCCTGCGACGTCGGTTATCGACTCGACGATTCCGTCAGCTGTTGCCGGTTGTCTCGCAGCGTTGTCGCCATTTCGTGACTCTACCAATATCGACACCTCCTCCACCTCCTCGATCATCCTAGGCAAAAGTTGGGTCTGCTCAGCCATTTTGGAAGATTTCGCTGACGTCACCCTTTCCGTGCTTTTTTTTTTTTTTTGGCGTCGTCACAGGCTATCGAGGCCAAAACAGTTGCTAATTGTGACTCGTTTCTGGGAAGTAGAGCGGGGAAGTGCCGTGCAGCGAAGTAGACGGAAGCGAACAATGTGAACAAGTACAAAAGCGGGGACAGAGAATGTACATCAGCTACGGAAAGGCTAGTGCTCTATGAGCGCGGCACTCGTGTCTTGGGCTCTAGTAGCACAAGGGCGATTTGAGAACGCGCAATTTGTGAGTCCCACAAATTGTTGTGGGAAGGTTGTGTGGTTTGGGTTCATTCACACTCAGCAAATATGAAGTGAGGATCTACGTGTAGAATGCTCGTGGATCGTGTTTTGTGTTGCTGGAAGTCGCACGAAGATGATTTAGGAAGTGTCCCAAAAGTACATCCCGCATACACCGTATTCGGTTTTGTAGGTTCCAGCACGGTATAAAACGGTATTTCTGCTCCAATGCTTTGAAACATCTAGGCACCTTACTGAACTTGTGCAAACTGTACACGAGACGTCCTCTTGGGACACGCCCTAATACGGATGTATTGCGCGAAACAGAACCGAAAAAATTACGTCTCGTGTCATGGAGAGCGCATTTCGGTGTCACGATCTGTCATGTACGCGTGTATTGATTGGCTTCAGGGCAGGTCTCAATAGTCCACAACTGTTCATTTCGTGAAAAGTAACCCGATTTTAACAAGTAACATCTTGTTTAAGGTTTCGCCATTACATGACTGAAATATTGATGTAACCTGGGACACCCTTCACATGCGTCGGGCCATGTACCAGATTTCGGATTGCAAACGTAAAAAAGCCGGAAGGTGCAAGATTCGGGGACGGGGCTCCAAGTGTGTCGCGCCTGGATATCACCCCGCTGGCGATGGCGAAAATCAGGCGACGTCGCGAATACATCTGCGCGCGTGACGCCATACCGAATCCGCAACCTAACACGCCACTAGTTGGACCACTCTGCGCCGACAGAATGGGGTGAGTTTCTGGTTTCCCCAACGACCCACACCCGCCCGAGAAGCCCCCCTCGCTCGCCGCTGCCAATGTTTGCAAAAGCGGGATGTGTTTCCCTGCCTGTTGTCTTTTGCGGGGTGTGCGAAACATATGTTTCGCGCAGGCTTACATTTGGTAACTGCGTTTTGGGCCGTTGCGCGCCGCTCGGTTTTTTCACATGTGGACAACTGGCGTCCTGCTTGTGCGCCACGTGCGAAAAGGGACAAATTTCGGGAATAAACGAATTCGGTATCGTTTCAGGGATTTGTACCGGGGTTCGTAAAATCGTGTCCCGAACCCCGAAATAACCTATTGGGACTCGCCCTCCGATCCTTTCAGTCTTTCAGGCTGGGAGATTGATCATGTCCCTGGTTTACCATTCAGAAAAATGAACGCATCCTCAACATCTCAACTTTGTTGGAGCTGTTGTTGTGCTTCTACACCATATGCGTGCAGCTACAGCCGCAACTTCTGGGCGACTGACAGCCGCCCGACGAGGCAACCCCGAGTTTACTCTAAGACAATGTCCAAAGCGATCTGGCGAAGGTCCTCCGATTTGCTGGGGCTAGTGATGACTGGCGGTTAGGTGAGGAGGAAGAAACAGACACGGTCACCCGTTTGCAAGTTCCCTGCAAGCATCTCCACCTTCGTTGGGGCGTAACCGCAATTTTTGAGATGTCGACGCACCCTTCAGTGTCACACGAGTTACAGTACGGTGTTTGACACCAAACAACGTTGTGGCCACGGAATCATCAGCTGTAATGTTCGCGGCGACCAGTCAGAAGCGTCTGTTATTCCGCCCTGATGAGGGTAAATTCCGCGTCGCTGCTTGGGGGGATTGGGCTGTGTCGAACGACCGTAAAGTGGGCACGATTGACCGAGTTTGAGAAACCAGCATGCCATGCAAACGACTTGCAGAAAGGACGGGGACTCTACAATGCTGAGCTGTAAATTACACCTAGCTAGCGGTAATTTTACACCCTGAAATTGGGCGGCAGTAGAATTTTCGTTTCCACGCTGACCATTTTTGAGTCCGTAGACAGTATTCCCTTGTTCCTGCGGCCTAAGCACGGCAGACTCCACGCGGACAAAAACTTTGAGCACTGCCAAAGCTGACGTCGGGTTTCCTAACTTGAGAAACCCCAAAACGAGCAGAAAACTTTTCATATAGAATTCCAAACTAAAGTTTTTTTTCAAGGGTATCCGGATCTGGTCTTCAACAACTGCTTTCGAGGGGTGAATACCCTCTTGGCGGCACCCCCTATGAAAATACTGGGTGTGAAAGTACCGCGGGTTAGGTGTATCTCAAACACGTACGGTGGTAACCAGTCAGCCAACATTTCGCTACCGCCTATTGGTTGTGAACTGACTACCCCTGCCCGTGTGATAAAGTATTGTATTGTACTGTATTAATAAAACATACTGTGCTTTTCTGGATGGGGCTTGGGTTATATATATATATATATATAAACGCAGGGTCGCATGGAAGCCCCACCTCTGAGTCGCCTCTGAATTACCCGTTAAAGCCTGACCGGTAGGTTGCATATTGGCACTGTTGAGGTAGGTGGGACGGCAAACTGTGATTGGCTGACGAAAACAAAGTGAGGCGAAAATCTCAAACGAAGGTTGGGCTTCGCCGAGCGAGCTTCAACTTCGAGCGAGAAAACATCTTCACAACTTGGCAGGGCTGTCAACTTTCCAGATCTCCCTTCTGCAATGAGCAGCCTCGCCAGCTCTGCCAAGTTTGCGGGGCATCAGCTATTTGGTTTTTTTCTTCAAGAAAAATCAGGGCATAACTGTTCATAAACAAAATTCGGATGTTAGATTTTGACGTTCATAGGTAAACGCATCAAGCGAATTCGTTGTACGAAGCACATGACTACAATACGTATTTCAAGTATACCCGTCCGAGATTTAAAATAAACACAAAGGTTTCTACCCCAAACCCATTCAGTCCCCGTGCTCCCTTCGTTACTCGGCAGGGGTGCATCACTACCAAGTTCCGAGAGTCCTGCCAGCCGGAAAACCATTGCGAGCTCTCTGAAGTCTTACGCTGGTTGCTCGGTTACAGGGACCTCAAGTTGCAGCACCTTGAGAAAAAAGGAGTTGATAACCTTCCGAACGGAACCCCCCCCAAATAACCCGTTACCGAAAGGAATCTGCCTCTACAAATTCGGAAACAACTCCCAACGAGCTAGGTAAAATGCCAGGGAACCCCATGCTCTAAGGTAGTCAAAAGAATCTCACACTTCTGATAAAAAATCCAAGAACTCAGCTTCGAAGATGCGGCAACGAAACTCCAATTTGTAAAACTCCCAGTTCTGCTCCAAAGTTGAAATGTTACTGCAGGGTAAACTGCTCCAAGGGTCTTGGAACTCATACTCCGGAAAGACTCCCGCATGAACTGAAAGTTTATTCACAAGAAAATCAATGCTTGCGAGCTGGCCTCAACACAGCTTAAACAATACTACTGCAAAAACTTCCCGTTTTAATAGTGATGCTGTCGATTCGGTTATCGAGGCAGGGTTGTGTTTACGCATGCAGACCAAATGAGGATGGAGGCGGTAGTGGGTGGTGGCGAGAGGTTGACGACGATGGCGATGGTAGTAACTGCTACTGAGAACCACTCCAGTGAATATCCTCAAACCGAACTCAGAATCAGATGACGCCAGCTGCGTAGCTACTTTGTCTGTACACGCCGAAATTATTGGGAAGAGCCGAAACAGCTGCTGCTCTCTTCCTCCTCCATGCTTCCAAAACATTCCAAGAATGTTGCTCGATATTGCTCGTACCCCTTCAGATAGCAGGCACAACTCTAGTTGAAAAACCTTGGACGAGTGCTCCTCTTCCACTAGTGAAGATATCGGAACACACCCGGTACCTAACCAATACTATTACTCCGCGTTACAGCTGCATGTGCTACACAGCTACCAGTAAAACGCATGGGCGCAGCGGCGTCATTTAGTAGCGCCTTTATCGATCACCAGCTTCAACAGATGGACTGACTCCTTAATTCTAGGGTAAATCGATCTCCACGCTTGGGCATGGGTCTTTCGTCGACATCATGGTAGGCGAGCATCATCCACTGCCGATCCCTTCACAGCATTTACCCAAACACTTGATATACTCTGATACCCCTAACCAACTGGCCGTGCACACGTTTGCCATCTCGCGGCGGCTGTAGGTTACCCAAACTGCTTCACTGCTGCTTCTTAACTAACTCCTCAGAAACATGCATTGTTAAAGGCATGAAGGGCACACGACAATTTCGGTCGGACTAAAAAAGTCCCCGCACGACCGCTAGACGCCTTCTAAGGAGAAGTTTGCCTCCAGATTGTATGTCGTTAATTGTAGCTTGACAAAGCTTGCACAAACACAAAATTCAATAGAATCAAGATTGGATATGGTACAACAAGGGCCAAACCTAATACTATCTTAATGAACTATGCAAGGACGTTCTTTGCCGACCGTTGTCAAAACATCGCGTAGGTGTACTTTGCCAAGTCAGCACCAGGCAGCAGAACGTTCTCTACCACCACTTGGATGTGCTCTGCCGATTCAGCATCGGCAGGTGTAATCCGTAGGAAGCACTGGCTGGTGAAATGCCAAGTCAGCGTTGGCAGGTGTTCACCAACCAAGACAGTTGTGCCTGATTAATCAAGGTCTTAACTGTCTCCTGATCTGCATATGTCCCCGGTTACGATCATGTGCACTAGGTTCATCTCGCAAATAGGTTCAGTTTCAGCAAGGGGTTGGTTCCTTTTCTGCCGCAGAGAGAATTTGCGCCCTTCTACAAAGTCGCATCGTGATAAGATCCCATGCCCTCTGCCGCGACTCTCCCGAGACTCTACCGAGACTCGCGTGCCCCAACTCTGCTGGACCTCACGCGCCCTTACTCTGCCGGGCATCGCGGGTCCGTACTCTGCCGAACATGAGAACTTCATCTTCTGCCGCTGTACACTTCTTTCCGCCAGTGTACTCTGTCGACACTTCGATGAATCCGTTCTCTGCCAATGAAGGTTTCCGCAGAGTCTCGCTTGTCGCCAAATCTCTCTGCTGAATGAATTTGTTGGCGTCGGCAGAGTCTATCACCATGCCCTGTTTGCAGGCTCTGCCGCCTCGCCCGTCGACAGGCCTCTCTTCCGAAGCTGGCGTCGGGAGTACACAAGGTGCCACTTTTGAAGACTCCGCAGCCTTAACATGATCAAAGCCATTCTCAACACTCCTCTGCACTGGTCATGCAAAATCACCAACAAGCAGAGAACCTATCTCTACCACACACGAAAACAGAAAAGAAAACACACAAACAAACACATACGAAATTGCGAGAATCTCCACTTCCTCGCACACTTGAATCACCGCACCAGCCATGAAAGAGGTCATCGCACCTATTCCTCTTCAGAAGAACCTTCTTCTTCTGTGCTCCCCTTTCCAGACAATCTCACTCGACCCATTCTGCCGAAGCATAGGTCAAACGCGGGAAATTGCAACGACTTTGGTCAAGTAATATGCCGGCTGCTCGTTCGTGTGGATGTACTAGAGTTTCAGCTTGCGACGCTCGGCCATGTGCTGCAACCACATGTATCGTTGCTCCATGTGCTTGAGGCTCCCCTTTATCCCCATCCCTTCACACACAGCTATTGCAGATTGATTGTTGACGTAGAGTGTTGTAGGTTCGTCTTCGTCGATAAGACCGAACTCTGCCAACAAGAATCGTAGCTTGTGAGCTTCTTTGCCAGCCTCCACAGCAGAGATGTACTCGGATTCCGTGGACGAGAGGGTGGCACATTTGATCTTCTTACTTGCCCACAAAAATTGCTACTCCTCCAAGTGTAAAAATATAGCCACTTGTAGCCACTCTGCCTGTCGCCAGCATCGTCAGCATCTGCAAAAACGACGAGGCGCAATTCTCTGCCTTCTCTGTCGAGCTCGAGAGCCACATCGCGCGTCCCAATGAGGTACGCAATGCAGCGGTCGAGATCCTTCCAATGCTGATCACTTCGAATAGTCTGCCAAGACGCGAGCTTGCTGCACGCAAAAGCGATGCCCGGACGTGTCGTGTA